CATGGCCGGCTCCGGCGGCGCTTCCGTCGCCGGCCTCGCACCTCCCGACGCGGCCGGGTTGCCGCTGTCAATGTCGCTGCCGATGCCGATGCCGATGCCAATGTCGATGCCAATGTCGATGTCGATGCCGATGCCGCTGTCGATGTCACTGCCGCTGCAGATGCCGATGCCGATGCCGTTGCCAATGCCGCTGTCGCTGCCTCTGTCCGCGCCTGCATCGTCCCACCTGTCCGCCATGTCGCTCGGTTCAACATGGCCGCTCGAAGCGCCACTCGGAATGCCCCCTTGCGGCGGCCTCGCGACCCCCGCGCCGCCCACCACCTCCACGAGCCTCGTCGGCGCCGGCGGCAACGGCGGCGCTGGCGTCTTTGCGGGTGTCTTTCGCGCCCGCCGGCCCATCCTCTGCAAGCCGGCCAATCTGCAACCGCTTCCACAACCGCCGCCGCCACCAACTCCACCACCTCCGCCACCTCCACTACTACCACCACCACCACCAGCTTTATCCGCGTCCGGATACGTTCGACCCGTCACCCGAAAGTTGATGATCAGCCCGTTGCCCTCTTGTCCGTCGACCAATCTGACTCCGGCCCTCGCCACCGCCACCGCAACCGCAACCGCAGAAGCCGCGGCGGCGACGGCGGTCGTCTCGACCTCCGCCCCACCCTCGATCGCCAACTCGCTACCCGCCCGATTTCCCGCAATCTTTCCCAAATTCTCACAGACGCTCAGCCCGGTCGTCTCCTCCCTCCTCCTCCAGCAACAACAACAACAACAACAACAACAACAACAACAACGACATTTGCAATTGTCCTCCACCCTGGCGAGCTCTGTCCCCCAGTCCTCGTGGCTCGCGGCTCAGGCAATCATGCTTCTGCCCGCGACCGCGACTCTTCTGCCCGCCCCTGACGACAGCAACCTCGCCAAATCCTCCTCCTCCCCTTCACCCCCACCGCCGCCTCCTCCGCCTCCACCTCCTCCACCACCTCCTCCTCCTACTCGCCCTCTCCCTCCTTGTTCTCCGTGCGCACTCGCCCTGCCTTCGCTCGTCATCAGCTCCACCAGCGCCGGCGTCAGCGCCCTCGGCCCCTCGACTCCGCCGTCGCCGTTGCCGTCGCCGTTGCCGTCGGCGTCGGCGTCGCCTGCGCTGCGCCAGCCGGCCGGCGGACAACCGCGCTCCGCCTTCATCAGGTCCCGGTCGAACGGCGACGCAGAGACGTCGTTGCCGCGTTTGTGCGACGTCGACTCGGCCGAAGGGAACCGGGCACACCGACAGCACTCGCCGCCAAGGCTCATCAAAGTGGGCTCTCGCTTCCTGTCCAACGAGGTGCACATCACCATCGGTCGTCGGGGCGGCCAGAAGCTGCACTATCGCGGCTACGTGTACACGAAGAAGGAGTTCCGCAAGGGCGTCATGATTTGGCGCTGCGTGCGCCGCAAGTGGGACATCAACTGCTACGGAACCCTGTCCACCACCAATCAGATGAAGGAGCCCAAATTGATGCACCCCCACAAGCACCCGCCGGACCCGAGAAGTCTGGAGTTCGAGTTGAACAACTCGCCAGCAGGTGCGTCTGTCTGGCCTGTCCCACTCGCGCCGGGTTACCGCGCCGAATGCCAAATCGGCCAAATCGGCCGACACGAGGACGAATGACGGAGAGATGGAAAAAGGGTTTTGTGATGCAGTCACACACTTGTGTAATGCGTTGGTAGAGCAGCACATTCACGTCGATCGGAACTGCAAATCGGACGACCGAGACGTTGTGCACTCTCTTTCGGTTGCTGTGCTCCCCTCTCGATCTACCCAAATGCTACTGGGCCGTGTTGTCAGGGCGACTGGGTTGGGTACACCTTTGGGGTTTCGGCCATTCTCAGCGTCCGGCCGTTGCGCCGGCACGCCAGTCGACATCTTGTCTCTTTGACGGGTTGTCGTCTGCTGCTGAGACTGGCAAGGCTCGCCGATGATGTCGCTGTTGGCAAGGCGACTAGGCGAGGTCGAAAGTGTAGTCCACTCCAACTGGGATGGGAACAACTTTTGGCAAAGCAAGGCGCTGTGAAATTGAATGGAGACGTCAGCTCTGTTCGTGT